ACTTTTCCACGATGTCGTCAACACTGTTGGTAGGATTTTGGTGTTTCAATGCATTAAATACATTTAATATAATAATCTTCTCATTCTGAGACAGCGCACATCTTTTCACGCGTTTAGCAGGTACGTAATCTGATAAGCTCGACATTTTACCCAAACAATATTATATCCACTGGCACAATAGTCACTAAACACAAGTCGAATTTTACTCTACTGCACTAGCACGTCTTCGTATATTCAGCTCTAAGACTGGATTGATCTGTTACAATACACTGGCTCCTGCTCTATGATGTATCCAGTAAAATATACTAATGTACACCCATTACCTGTTAGCATTAGTGTTACCCGATAATTACCTGAAACGAAATATTACCACGCCCATGGCCGGTTCTTATCTCGGGGTTTTATTACTCTCTTTCATTTCAAAACAGACTTATAGATAGATAATTTTTTAACTAGTTTCTTGAAAGTTCAAGTTCAACTTGGCTAATTTCTTGGTCAGTAATCAGATCAAAAATTGGTAAAAGTCAAAAGACATTCTAGGTTGTTATCCAAACTTTTCTGACTGTTTCACAATTTAAATGTTTCTAATCTATAAAAACTAGATAGTTAGCTGTGTAACGGCTAATATTTTCACACAGAATAACGTAATTCCTATATTAGGATGTTCGTCCTTGACAGGGGAATGTAAATAATTTGTTTTAAAAACAATTGCACGAAAGCGCCTATTTACGACCGATTTGGCGCAATTTTCCAAACAGTCGGTTTCGCGTTCACCAACAACGTGATACAACCATAATCCGTATAATTCTCAAATAAATCCAGCAGGTCGTATATTTAGTCCCAAAATAGACAACTTTTTATAGTGTAGCTTTTAAATCTCCACAAATGTGCAACGGGATGACGTAACGCAAACCATAATAACGAGTGGTACCCAATTAAAATTCTTATGTTGTGTTGATGTGTCCGTTGATTAACTAATCGGCTCGATCGATTTCAACAAATATGGTAAATTCATACAGAAAATAGATTTCTAGGAATATCGTTTTCAAGGGCACGCGTACATGTGATAATGTTATAAATAGTGAAATTTGTTTATAGTAAGTGAAACTGGTATTATGGAATAACATAGTTTCGTCAAGTATATTTTTATAAAGTATAAAGTAATTTACATTACTATCCAACATTTTTAACGATCCCTAATCAATCCTTTAAAATGGATCAATTGAACTCTACTTACCGTCGATCAGTGCTCTTCTCAATTTAATTATTATGTAGAGCTAATAATAATAATGTAATTTAAATAAAATACGAAACACTTTTAGTTGGTATGCTACACCAGTCTACTTTTAGAATCATTCTTTGATATCATTAGACACCTGCCTCTTCAAATTAACCCAAACTTGTGCAACGTTGTATGAACATTAATTATTAGGTTTTCATTTTACAACGTGACACGATGTGACAATTACCAAACATTAACTAAAACCCATAAATTTTAAACACTAGGAGGAAGTCAGTCTTAACCCGCTAAAATATAGCCCACAGGTGACATTAACGTTTTGTGAGAATTGTAGAACCGATGTTTACAAACAACCAGAATAGAAATAGGCCCTAACAACGCCTGCGTAATCTTGAGATTTCTTTTATCAGGTGGATTAGTTGTGTCTGGGACAAAAAACTATGCGCAATACGGGGTGGTGACACTTTTTTCGTTTGTGTATCATGACGAGCGTTCAAATAAAAACGTGGTCGAAGTTGGCTCTGACACATTGGACGCAGGGAGTAGCTTATAGCGACCAACTTAACCTCATTTCTCAACGAGCTGTATAGCAGCTGTCAGTTTCAATAACGTTAATGACTATATAACTTTATTTTAAAGAATAATCGTGATAACAATAACAAACAATTAAAGGAGCTGCGGAAAGTGTCCCCCTCCTTGTTATAACAATAAATTAAAGCAGCTGCTGAAAGTGTCCCCCTCCTTGTTCCAAGCACTTTTCACACCTGTTCCTCAAAGAATTAAAGACATTTT